GGCCGTTTCCTGGCTGGTTGCTCCGGCGGCGGCGGCGGGAGGAGGAGGAGGAGGAGGAGAAGGCGGCGGGGCTCAGCGTCTCTCCGGCTTCCTTCTGAGAGCATGGCTGCCGGCGTCGAGTGGGGGTCAGAGGCGGCCAGCGCCTGGACACCTGGCGGCAGGTAAGCGACGTGGGGGGGCGGGACCCGCGCACACCTACACGCCAGGAGCCGGGCCGGCTGCGTCTTTCTGATCGAAACCTGAACGTCAGAGGCGTGCGCTGGCTTGGGGCACGGAAGGCAGGAAAACGAGGCCAGGTCTTCTGTACGCGCGACGCAGCCGGGGAAGGAGAACAATTCCAGGGCGAGGGCCCTGCCTACAGGGGGGTCATCAGACCGGCTCTCCGAATTCAGAGGAAAGTTCCCCGATGTGCCAGACAGCCACACCGGGATGGTTGCCAGATACCTGGGCCCCGACTGGGGCAGGACAACGCGGCTTCAGTCAGCGTAACAAGGAAGGTGGCCGGCAGGACCGCGGGCAGGAGACCCAGCAGCCTTGAGACTGAGATGAACTTGGAGGAGCGCGAAGGGGCCTCTCCCTAAGCAGTGGAGGCGGATTTCATATCCTGATGGCAACCCTAATTGGTTAAAGACTGCCCACGAATCCCGTTGTTGTGGTTGTTGTGGTTGTTGTTGTTGCTTCTTCTCCTTCTCCTTCTCCTTCTCCTTCTCCTTCTCCTTCTCCTCCTCCTTTCTTAAAAGTTTACCCCCTTATTTTGCTTCCAAAAATTACCAAACAGCCTGTCCCCAAAATGTAGCCAAATGCCTTTGTAAAAATGTGCCAATAGAAGATTAACAAACTGGGTCATTGTCCACTCAACCGTGGACTTTTCCAAAACAGAAAAGGGTGTTTTTTATTCTTAAAAGTTTTGCTTGGCCTCAGGAATTGATCACTTCTCAATTACTAAAAAAAAAAAAGAACCTCTTCTCCATTCTGAAGGGAGGAGAGCATCAAGCAGAGCACTTCATTTTGAGAAAGGCTATTAAGGGAATCAGAAGAAAATGTCTCTTTCAGTGCTCGAGGCTCATCTTAAGAACCGGAGGGGGGGAGTAGCCATGGTGGATCTGGCAGAGCTTCAGGCTGCTGTTTCTTAGTGCTCAGTCAAATGCTTCTGAGGTGCTCAGAAGCAGGAGAAGGAGACCTGTCCCTCTCCCTCAGTGGCTTCCCCGCAACTGGCATTTGGGGTCCCCGAATGATGAGCAAAATGGAGTTTTGTCCTCCCCCGGTTCCACATCTGCCTCTTCTGTTTCTCAGGGCAGCAGAGATGCGACTTGGTTGCAGGGAAGTACCACATCCGGAAGTATGAGGACAGAGACTACGACACAGCACGCGCCTTGTTTGCTCATGGGCTCAAGGAACACATTCCTACTGCGATATGGCACCTTCTCAGAAGTCCTCAGAACTATCTGGTGCTTCTGACTGTGTTCCTTGTGACCTACGTGAGCTCGGCTTCCTTTATCATCTCCCTGGTGGTCGTGTCTCTTCTCTTGGTTGTAGGCATGGTTTATATGAAGGACTTCTGGGAAAGGTATATCCAAGATGCTCTCGCTACAGACATGCGAGACATCAGGGGAACCTACCTGGACCAAAAGGACTGCTGCTTCTGGGTGGTGGAGGGTGGGAAAGAAGTGGTAGGCATTGTGGCTGCCATCAATCCCGACGACCCATCTTTGCGGGGCAGTGCCCGGGAGCTGAAGCGTATGTCTGTGAAGAAGGAGCACAGAGGCCAAGGGCTCTCCAAGGCCCTAACCAAGACTGTTATCCAGTTTTCCCAGGAGCGTGGCTATAAGGAAGTTGTGTTGGCTACCTCCATGGTGCAACACGCTGCTCAAAGGGCCTATGAGAGCATGGCCTTCCACAAGGTCCTGGTGGTAAATCCCTCCTTCCTGGCTAAGCTGGTGCACTATTACGACTACTTGTATTGCTATAAAATCCCAGGAACTCACTGAGATCCACCTCAGAAAATAGTCCACTACCCGGAGCAGAAGCGCCTGCTTGTCGACCAAGTTCTACATTCTGCCCTGATGACTCAGCAGAATTGCAGGCTCAACCTCCTCCTTGTGGGAGTTCAACCAACTGCTCTGAAGAGGCTCTGCATGACCTGAGTTCACCCTCCCTAAGGCTGGCTTCCCAGCCTAATTAGTGACCGTAGAAAACCTGTTATCTGACTGTGATAAGAAACCCTACAGCGCACCCCAACGTAGCCAGCCCTTGGAATTGCTTACCATCCTTTTATGGACAGCCACAAGCTTCTCACAGAGATATTCTCATTTAAGTCACATTCTCCTTAATCTGCCAACAGCTTGGAAGAGAGGGACACAATGCAGCCTTTGTCGCACATGCCAAATCTGTGGCAGAGAGGGGAGTCCTCCCAGAGATGTGGTGTGGAGCGGGGGGTGCTTCGTCTCATTCGTGCCCCTCCCAGAATGTTAGGACTACAATTTCCATGATCGACTGTCAAGCTGGCTGGTGTTGATGGGAACTAGAACCCAGCATCACTCAAGGGGCTATTTCGTTGGGGAAGCCTAATTGGAGGCCATCAACCTATTCCAACCAGGACTAGCAGTCAGGGCTATTTGCCAGATGCATCTGTTTCCAGCTGACCGTTGAATCAAACCTGTGTACAAACGTCAAAAGACATAATTTTCCAATATGCCTCTCAGGCTACCGGGAGGTAGTCCATGCTGATGACTGGCAGAGCCCTGGTGTACTTGGATGCTCCTGGGGGAAGGTGTTGTGGAGTCTGGCCTGTGCAGAAGCCTCAAAATCGGGGCAACTGACCAGGCTGAAGAGAATGGGGCTGGCCTGGGGGAGGAGGGGCTCTTCCCACATGGTCCACGCTTTATGGGCATTCGTGGACCCTGAGCACCGCAGAACATCCTTCCAGGGCGTGGAGTCACAGAGCTAGAATGGAGTCTTGGGGTCTTATAGTCCAGTCCCCTGCCCACGGCAGACTGTCCCAGGCAAATGGCTGCCCAACCTTGAAACCCTCCAGTGATGGAGCCCCACTGTCCAGGTGGTGGGCTGTTCTTCTGCTTAGGAGCTCTGAGTCAGGAAATGCCTTGTTTTGAGTTTGGATATCCGTTTGTACAGTCTCCAGCTGCTGGTTCTTGTCCTAGCCTTGGGGGCTTTGAAGAATAAATCCAGAGTTTCCCTTATGGGGGTGAAGAGCTATTAAATCGGTTTATACTTGTTGTGATGAAGGTTGGAATGCCTTCTCTTTTTCTTTGTTATATTCTTTTTTTTCTTGCATGTTTTATTCTTACTGTTCTTTTTTCTTTAAGTTTAGTTTGCATTAGTTTTTAGTATTGTAATCAAGATCCTTAATAAAATTATATATGATAAAAAAGAGAGCTATGCCTCTGCCCACATTAAGACTTGAGTAGGTCCAGGAAAACACAAAAGTTGAATGCAGTAGGAATAGGCTATTTAAGAAATATGTGTAGTAAAACAAAAAGGGAGGGGAATGAACGAATGTGGATGGAATATGAAAGTGACCTCTTACTGTTAGAAAGTTTGGTTTTTCTTTGGTGTTTTTTGCATAGGGAACTTTGCCCTTGTCTTTGCTAAATTTCACTGGGTGGCTTTCAGTCCATTTCTCCAACTTGCCAGGAAGGTTCTGAATTTTCTTTCGAGGGTCTTGGTGGTTCCACCCAATATTGTATCCTCCGCAAGTCTGATTAGCATTCTCCCCACCTCTTCCTGCCAATAATTAATGAAAATCACGAAGGAGAGAGGACCTAGGACTGACCGGCTTCATCCTTACTGGGAATCATCGGCCAGAACCTATTCTGCGGGGGTTCAATTCCTCTCCTGGGCATTGAGCCCTTCGGCCTTTGCACTCTAGAGGACTATAGACAGTGCATACGTTTTAGATACCATCCAGGTCCTAGCCCTCAGTACTGTTGCAGGAATATATAGAAGCTTTCAGAACGGATACCAGTGTTTCTCAACCTTGGCGGCTTGAAGATGTGTGGACTTCAGCTCCCAGAACTAAAGAAAGGCCGGCTGGGAATTCTGGGAGTTGAAGTCCACACATCTTCAAGCCGCCAAGGTTGAGAAACACGGCTGTGTACGGTGCACCTTTTCTGAAACCGTCAGAGGCATACAAATGTCACGCTTCGTGCTTTCATGTACAAGCTTTGACTTATCTAACATACACATGAAATACACAAATATACCCATGCGTCTCCTATGTAAAATCTCGACTCAGAAAACGCTGTGCACAGAGGCATCATATAAGGCAACGTCCGCGCAACTCGCTCCCTTGAAAGCTTACGGGAGGGCGGGCTGTATATACCATCCTGGTGGATTTAATTTGAATTCCTGCACGGGGCAGCAGCCGGACTTTGTGACCGCAGCGGCGCTCTCTACCTCCCGCAGAGATTTCAAGCCACGACACCGCGTTTCCTCGCCTTGAGTAAATTCCAAGGATCGGTGGACTTTGTCTGTCCGCGGGCT